CCAAACAGGAATGAAATGCATGCTTTGTAAGAGGCTGTGCATGGCACCACGGTAACCTTAAACCCCATGAAAGTCTGAAAAACATTGCGTGTTTCTCTGTAATTCAAGTATTTGTTTTCAGCTATGCGTTTAATGTTTGAAAGGAGTTGGAGGTAATAAAGGGCTTGGGAAAGTTGTGACATGAAAAGCAAAAATAGGGCTTTTGTCAATCAGAAGTCGGAATCCCTGTGCAGGACAGAACAGAGTGGAGACTGGTGGGAAGGGACGGGAAGGGTGCGGGCCGCGCGGGGCACAGTCGGCGCGCCCGGGCAGGCAGTCAAAGCGAAGGGAAGGCGAGGAGGAGGAGCGGAATGCGGAAAGCCGCAGCCCCGCCAGGCTGAAAAGTCCTGGGGCGGAAGGGCGCGCCAGACGATTCCCTCGAACAACAGCGCCGACCCGCGCCGTCGCTTCACTAAAGCTGGCCGTAGCCCTCTTCGCCACTATGGGCGCTAGAGCTCCCCTGGGGAACAGGCGCCGGCCGGACGCGGTTCCCCCAGTCGCGTCGCCAGTCCCACCCGTCACCCTTCCCACCCCTCCTCCTACCCTCCCTCTCGGCCGGTCGGCCACCCCCAGCTCACCTTCACGCGGTTGAGCCCGGCCTCTAGCCGGAGTTGTTGAACCACTTTCTTCATAGCGGCGACGCTGGAGGAACCAGACATGGTGCACGCGGGAGCCGGACCGATTCGTCTGTCGGTCGGTTGGTTGGCGGGGGCCAGGCGGCGGGACAGCGCGGCGGGGGGCGGGGCCTGGAACTTTGTCTCCAAGTTTCCGGTTCTTTGCTGTTCCACCCTCAGTGCGCATGCGCGTCCTCTAATGCTCTCTGTCCCAGCGCCTCACCCCCGCGGGAGTGCGAGCCTGAGGGAGGGCGGGGAAGAAGGGGTGGAGCGGGCGGTGGGCGCGGCGGCTGCGGGAGCAACCCGACGCCCTGCCTCTACTCCCTCCCTCTCCAGAGAGGCCGATTCCAGAGAGGTAAGGAAAGAGTTGGCTAGTCCAAAGAGGGACGCTGAAAAGTTTGGGTGAAGGAAGTCAGATGTTGGAGGGATTTTTAAAAAGAGCAGGTGGCGTGGTGACAAGGAGGTCTCGGATTTCTTGTCGGTGTGGGCGGCAGGGTTTGACCGGAGAGGAGCGGAGTGCCCGGCCGAGGCTAAGGCGCCTGAAGGACGAGGGAGCGAGTTACCCACTGCGTTCCCCTGGGTGATTGTCTCTCAGCGACCAGAGTTAGCCCAACGGGCGCTGGGTCCGCAGCCAGCTTCCCGGCGGTCTGACCCGGTCACCCGAAGGAGGGTGCAGATGGGACGGAAACCGCTGGGGGAGAGGCGGGGGGCCCCAGGAGCAGGGGTGTTTGGTCACTAAGAGAAAAGCGCGGTCTTCTCGAGGTTTGGCTTCGGTGGCCTCTTACCCCTTTGGTTTTCTGGGAAAGGCTGTGAAGAGTCCAGCAGGCGCTGGAGGCTTGCACCCGTTGTTTTTGTCCTTTTCATTTGGGGAATTGACACTTACTGTACAAATAAAAATAAAACTTTGTGAGTCGGGAAAGTTTGCTCTTGTGTATTTCAGTTGTAATTTATTATCTGCTGCTTGAAATTAAGCCTCCAAGGGCACTTCTGGAGAGGTGGGAGGATCTAAACCAACAAAATAGTCTCAGCCCATTCATATTTCTCTCATGAAAACATGTCACAGCCCTTAGGACAGCTGTTTCCTATTCTCTTGGGATTGCCCATCTCCGAATACACATGACTTTTCTATAATAATTATCATTAAAAACTAAAATTTTGTGTATAGTGAGAAAATCCATATATAAATTGATCTCTGTCAAAACCTAATTTATAGTTAAATAATTTCATAAAATGCGTATTAATTCGTATAACAGATTGAGTGACTAGAATTAGATTATAAAAATGAGATTGAATTATGCCTCTTGTCATCTTGATATCCCTAAACAAGAAGCATCACTATCTCCTAAACAAACCATTTTCATTGACCTACCACAAAAACCTTGCCATACAGACGCAGAACTTCAAAATTCAGATGGTTAAAGACAGCCGGTTGTAAAAAGAGTTGACAGCAAGAAAATCTTTATGGCAATGAATAGCAAGGAAACAGAACCCAGAAATCTGTCATTTCCTGTTTTAACAGTGGAGCATAATCAGCTTCAATTTATTTGAGATCTTCTGTTAGTACCTTAAGTTGTTTAGTTCATAGGTTCAAAGGACTGTAGGGTTCATAGGAGGCCTGCAGTGCCACTAAGCATTGAATCTTTTTATCTAAAACAGGAAATCCTTAAAATGCATTGGAGAATTTCATTTACAGACTAGCCATTAACTGAATTGAATAGAACTCTCAGGGCATATGTAACCTGAATTTATCCTGATAAATAGCTCCCATGCTTGGTGATTAAAGAATCAGGAATTATGTCAAGAACAATTTTACAGTTATGTGTGATTTTAAAGAGTTCAAGCCACTTACTTGCAGACACTAAGACTTGGAGCAAATGAATGATCTTATAGGCTATACAGGGCTAAAACCTTTTCTGCTCTCAATCTAATTACTTTATGCAGGATTCTGTATTGTTAGTGTGTTTAAACAATGCAGTTCAAGTTTCCAATGTTAGCATTTATTTGAAAAATCAGAAATTCTTAAACTTGATTTTCAGATTTGCTACTCACCCAAAGTCATTTTGGGAAAGTGCAGAGAAAACATGGAAGCTAATTTTCCTTTAGACACTTGATCAGAGATGACAGGTAGGTAATACCCCTACCAAATCTACAATAGATTATGATAATCTATTTCTGTACTGTTTCTTATTGAGGCAAGATGTGACCAGGGACCCTTTTAGTAACTTTTTTTTTTTTTTTTTTTTTTGTAGTCTGTACTAGTAAATGAGATTGAATATACAAGATAAAAACATTTTTTCATTCCTGGTACAGGAGTTTTATAAAGCAGAATTACGCAGTGAATCAGAAACTAGACTTCTGTAGTCATTTCATCTTTAGCTATCTAGCAGTCAGCTTCTTTTGTTTGAATTGTTGCCATTTTGTTCATTAGCTTACTAGTAATAGGTAAAGAATTTGAAAATCACAGATTATATATATAAGGAATTTGTGAAATGTGATTTGATTAAGATCAACTACAGTTTCTAAACATGCCTAGGAAGGCATATGAATCTTTTTTTGGTTTTGATAACAAAAATCATTTAAGTCTAACAACCAGGAGATTATTGTAAAGATTAGTACAGAGCAGTGGTGGAGATGGTACCCCCATAAAATAGCAGCTGTTATACTGGTAGGCCAAACTGGGGAGAAAGATTGGGGACCACAAGAGCAAAATTGTGGATGCTTCTCTCCAGTGCTTCAGTGTAAACATGAATCACCTCTGTATCCTGTTTGTTCTCATAGCACCAGTTCACTTAGTCATTTCTCTTCTCTCTTTTCTCCTGTTTACAAATTAGTTCTCTCATTACATGGGCTTACCTCATTGCTGTGATTACAGCTTCCCGACTTAACCTTTGTACATTCTTTTTGCTTCAATATCTACTAACGCTATATTTGAATTTTCACAATTACAATCCTTATGGTCCAACTCTTTTAAACAAATAAATTTTTAAAGAGCCAGGCCATTTTATTTGTTTCTGGGCAGCCCAGGATCTAGAATATCTGAGTGTTTTTTTTTTTTTTATTCATACAGAATTAGGATATACAAGCCAGAGGTGAAGGGGTGGTGAGGTCTGCCACACCATGTGGATCACCTGCCGAGCACAGGTTTTGAAATTGCACTGAAGCAGCTGCATCTAGTTTGCATTGCTGCGTCCTAACCCACATGCCACCAGGGAGGGTCCATGAGTGTTTTCTTAATGTAATATATTTAAAATAGTGCTTGAGAGAGTGATAATGACAAGTCACACTTTAAGTTTTAATTATATAAGAAATGCACATAGGCAGTAAATGTGAAATAAATTTTATTTAGATTATATGCCCCAAACATAATATTTAATTTTGATATTATTTAAACAATTAATGGTATCACAGCATTTCATAGAGATATGACTAGTGCCATATCATAGGAATCTTAACATTTGTGGATTTCAGTCTCTATTTGAATGTATATTTCAGTCTCTATTTGAATATAAACCAATGTAGAGCAATGCTTTGAAATCTTCAAAAAGCTTCTGGTGTTGGAGTGATTAGTGTTATCTTTACAGATTGCCCCACTTTCATAAATTTACTTTTAGAGTGATAATTCAGCTAACTTTCAAATTTTATTTATACAGTTTTCAAATTTTATTGTGCATTCCTATAAACTCCTATAAATCCTATAGTGAGAAATATAGAAAATAATACACGAACATTGTAATTAAAGACTGGTGTTTCATCTGGAGTGATTGTTCACATTTATTATTGAGATATCCATGTCCAGGAAAAAAGCATATTATAAACAGTTTTCTTTACCCTATAGCTGTTTAAATTCGGTCTTTGTAATTCTGCTTTATAAATCCAGTCCCAGTGTATTTATACTTTATGTAGATAGTGTGTGTGTGTGTATTTTTGACAAGAAAAATAGTTTAGTAAAATATACTCTGATCATTATAATGTAACTTACCACTCCACTTAGTTGTATAGGATGTATGTTCATGTCTTTTTCCTTTTTTAGCTCTTTTTAATTAATAATATATATTTTGAATTAAGAACAATAAGATTATATACATTCCTTGGTTTATTTTGAGTTGTTCTTTTTTTAATTGAGGTAACAGTGATTTACAATATTGTGTATGATTTAGAGACAGAGTTTTATACCCTTCAGGAGTATGTTACTAGCTACCAACAAAGCAGTAAAAGTCTGCCATAGTCCAGTACCCCTTCAGCACTTAAATTTATTTTAATTTTTTTTTCACTTTTTGAACAAATCAGAGACCAGAAATGAATGGAATGCTATTTTAAACAAGTCAAAAAAACTATTATAACTATTAAATGCTGCTTAAATGAACAAAGATCAAAAAGTCCACAGAATTCCAACTGATAATTACGCTTTTCAGACATTGGTGAATATGTACCTCAATCCAAGTAGACCTTCCTCAAAGGAGGTAAGAAAACAAGAAAACCTTACTGTTTTTGAAAAGTTTTTATGAAACTATGGAGTATGTATAAGGTATATGTAGACTCTCCCATGAGCCTAACTTTATATATACCTTTGTCTGAGTTGAGTACTTACATGCCCTCTAAGAACCCTAATTGGATTGAGACCACCAGTGTATTAATCAAATTACTCTGTGTGTCCCGCACAGGTTGCTTATATACCATAAGGCAAACAAAATCACCCTTCTTACACATACTTTTGACTCCTCATCCCACTTTCATTTGAAGGTACTCAATAGTAAAACAAAAACCCTACTTAATCCAATTCTTCACCTATTATATACCTACACTACAAAATAACCAGCCTAAAGATGCTTCTCACTTTAAATTCATAATCATGAATCTGAAGTGGAACATTTTGTTGGTGAGCAATTGAACTGTTTTCCACTCACTCATTCACTCTTCTATGTTCTTCTAAACAATTGTTCATACCTTCACAAACCCTAATACCTTTACCCCCATTTTCTCTTTAAAGCAATTCCAATCAAACTTCCAATCTACTATTCTACTAAAACTGCTGTTATTAAATTCACCTCTGTATTACTAAATCTACTGTTTAATTCTTATAAGTAGAATATTTAGTCTTAAAATAGTATGTGTTTTAATATATATTTTAAAAAATTTACACATTATTCCAACTACTCATTGTGCTAGAAAAAAAATTAACCATAAAAATGTATTTTTTTGAAATGGGTTCATTAATTTTCCTTTTTCTTCAAGTTCTAATGTTACTCTTCTATTCTTAGGTTTTTGACATTTTATTCCATAAATTTCTGTATGGAATATATTTTTTATAACAGTTGAATATATTTTAATATATTGATTTAATGGATTATAAATTAAATTTGTTGTATTAAATAGATATATATTATTTGTGCTGATTACTGAGGTTTTTGGATGCTCCCTTAAATTTTCCACCAGAATTGAGTGCTTCACTTGCTTCATCCTTGTTTTTGTCTAGACACCTCATTAGAACGTAAATAATTAGAGGCAAAGCTCTTTGACTTATTCACAAAATATCTCTAATGTCTTGAAAAAAAAACTGTAATATAATAGTCACTCAATATTTGTTGAATAAATTAATGAATACAAACTAACCATAAATTAATTTGCATCATAAAATGTTAGAAAGCAGAGTGACACTTTCGATGTACACTCTGCATTGCCTACTCTTTCAATTTTAGTATTAAAATCTATGCAAACATTTTGAATTGAGGTTCATTAATTGTTATTAAAAATCAAAGTAATGTATTTGGCTTATAAAATAAAATATTTCAAGAAATTTTTTTGTATATTAACATTTATATAAAGGATAAGGTCATATCTGGTTCAAGCTTCTTAGGATTTTAGCATTAATATCATAGTATAGTATTAGTTATAATGTATAGTATAACTAGGGAATAATTTTAAATGCTCTGATGTTCAAAAACACACACAGCATGTGGCAAACTTCACTATCAGGTCTATACAAACATCTTAAATTATTGGTTAATATTCTGTCATCAAAAATATAAGACAAATTTGCTTGATCTATAAAAGCAACTTGAGCAAATCATTCAAGAATCATTTTTATGATCTATAAAATTACTAATTATTAACATGAGTAATAGGTCACATTTATTTCAAACTTTTAAGTTTTAAAGTAGTATTTTCACATATTTAGTACATAAATGTATTATAATCATTTAAATGCTTATAACTTTTAATATGCAATGGATGTTAAATTTAAGACTAGAAGATGTTACTACATTTCCTGTAATTGTCCTGTGTCTGTTGCTATTCTTCTAAGTACAAAAATTCTATCTGAGGTTATAACAAACCATTAATACAAATTAAGTCAGATTTAAATAGAGACAAGCATAAGGCATGCCCTCTGTAAGAAGAATCTTTCCTTTCCCCTTCATTGGTCAGGGACTGCCTGAGTTCTGGGAAACAAAAATATTCACAAAACTACAGTAGTCACACTTTTGCAGGTGCTAAGAATTTGCAGTCATCACAGCTTTTAGGGAAACACTAAAGGATCCTAACAACTCAGTGGACCTAATATGGTAGGATGTGAGCAGGGGGAAAGACTGGTGATAAGGAAACTAATCTTGGTGTCCTTAATGCAGGCAACAGAAAGAACTCTTATGTTAAATGTTAGGGTAACCAGGGACCACACCCATGAACATTGTTTGCCAGGGAAAATATGCCCAAGTGCTAAGGACCAACTTAAGAATGGATTGTTGGCTTCCATTTTATTTTTGGTTTGTTCAAAGGCATGTATGCATTCCATGTTGATTTTAATTATATTTACTAAAATTCTAAAGTTTGTCAGTTGATTTTTTCACTTTAAAAATATTTTAACTGACATTCTTCTCAATTTATTCAGTTGGTGGAACTTCATGTTTTTTATGTCCCTCAAGGATCGTGGAACTATAAGTTAAACACTATTTCAATAGAAGTTGTTAACAAATTCATTTCAGCTGGATTTATAAGGCAAGTATTTTGTGGCCCTACAACTGAGTACCTAATAAAGCATTCTTCTGTGGAGAAAAAATGTTTTCTGGAAATTTAAAAATTATTTGTGGAAAATAGCTTGTCCTTGTGATGGATCCACTTACTGAATACTATCTGTAGTATTGAATGAATAGTATCCTAATGAGTACAGTCAACACTAATTTAACAAATACTATCAATAAACAGTTCCATATCGTTAGATCGAAATGCATTATAGGAACAACTGCCACTTAATCATTGTATTACCACCCAGATAAAAAGAATTAAGACAAATGATCTGAATTAGAAATGTGTGAAAGAGCTGTGGAAAGTAGTTAAATCAGTTTTTCCACAATGGCTTTTTCCCGTGTTATTTAAAAATGGAAACAAAATATGTTAATGTGTTAATGTACATGTATAAGTGTATGTGTGTATATATATGTTATGTACTTTTCACATTGACTGAAATGCAAGTGACTGTGATTTTGTTAAATTCTCCTGAGTGTAATTCCATCTTCTTGAGCTTCCCTATCACTTTCTTTAAGCACTCTAGTGTCTTTCTGTTCTGGAACACATAAGACGTGATTCTACCTCAGAGCCCCGGTACTGTTCCTGTTGTTTACGGCACTGCTTCTGACTTTACATGTTCACTCTTCATCTCCTGTAGGCCTAGACTCAGCTATTACTTTTCTGTTTAAATCTGCTCTGATCATTGTATTTAAATGCCAGCTCCAATGCCTTTCTCCCTTCCCCACTTTATTTTTCTCTGTAACACTCAGTGTCTTAGGCATTTTATTTTTTTATTATTTTGTTCATTTTTCTCTCCCACCACTATATTGTAAGGTCTTTATGGGCAGAAGTTTTTGTCTGTTGTATTGATTACCCTACTTCCATCCTTAGAACAACACAGAGTCAAGTGCTCAGTAATTTGTTGATGTGACAAATTATGTTTCCTACAAGAGCCTAGAAAAAAACAAGAAATCAAAACTGTAGTATGAATGATAGCTTTAAATTTTAAAGTCGAGGAATGAAGTATCCGTAATGAACAAAGGTGTGGGTTCTGACAACACTTGACGACCAAAGAAGTATTTACAGCTAAGTCATTATTTGATATATGTATAAAAGTATGTAAGAAACATAACAAAGTTTTGTTTAATATTACAGCTTGGAGGTGATTGAGAAAAGAGCATTTTCCTTTTCAGTACAAAAAAAAAATACTTACAAACTTAATTTGCTACTTTTAAAGGCAAACTTGTAGTTTATTTTAAAAATATTTACTGAAGGCTAGCAAAGTGCCAGTTACTATAGAAACTTAATATATTAAGCTATGTATGATACATTGAATTAAACATTTCTGAGTGAGGCGGTTGACTAAATTAGTAGATCTTTAGTATAGCAGACAGCTATTTCAGATTACATAATAAGGCAATGTCATGGTATTTCAGGGTATCTCCTCACCTTACTTTACAAGCCCTGAGGGCACGTCTTGGTGAGTTCCTTGGTGAAGATGCTGTTTCAGAAAAATTTTTGTTTCTGAAATGCATTGGAAATAATCTAGCTGTGGTAAGTTTCATGTATTTTTCTCTTTGATTAAAAAAAGCATACTTTGGTGTGGCTGATTAATATTGGGGTGAGGCTGGAGGAGCTGAGGTAAAAGAATTCGTGAGATACAGTGTGGAGAACAGAAGAGAGTATTTATTGAGATACCCTATGAGGGTAGTGAGACAGGAATCAGTGCGCTGGAAGGAAGAGTTGAGGCTCTGTTTTATACTCTTATTTTCATGGGTTTACTCAGGGTCCAGTTTGCACTCTATTTATCTTCTGGGATGACTGGCCCTGTTGCATTCCTGGAGCTGGGCTGGTTTTTCCAGTCTTGGTGATCTGGACTTCCTGCCCAGTTCCCTGGCAGCTTTTCAAACTTGCCTGCTGGTCTGGGAATGGGGGCTTAGTGTTTAACCTTATTAAGTGATAACTGACCTTATTAAATGATACCTGACACATAACAAATTGTGTTAGGTAAGTGTTTATCAGCTCAGCTCCTTAACAAATTATGGAATTTAATCATAGTGCAAACATCAATAAGCACATAAATCTTCAAGAAAAGATGAATCAGATTGGCATGTTATCAGGCACTGAATTAATGGGAGTATTTTTACATTTGCATTTCCTTAGGAAAAGGAAAACAAAATTAAGATATGCTCAGACAAGTAATATGTATTTGTAAATTTAGTGTTTTAAAGCTTTTTAAACAAGTATTTGATGTCCTAGAGAAAAAAAAATTTATTGTTTGGAGCAAAACTGGACTTGCTTTTGCTGTGAATTTATTTCCAACTTACATATTTGGTAACAATTGAAGGGTTTTATTGTAGTTTCTGTGGGTTAGTGGTAGGCGTACTAAGCTGAATTCTCAATTCAGCAACCCAACAGGTGTCAAACTTTCTGGTTTCTCATATCTATATAGGGCCTATTTCTATAATTAAGATTTTCCATACTCAAACTCTTTATTTAATAGGCAGTATGTTTTGTTCCACCCTAGTTAACATAGTTTGCTATTATTATGTACTTAAATGCGTGTTTATTTCGTAAATATCTAATTATGTAATTAATTTTAACTCCTATGAGCAGAGACTTTTATTTTATTGACCACTGTGTTTATAAACAGTATTTAACAGGGTGCTTAGTACTTAGAGACATTTATGCTTGTTGAAATAATAATGAATGATAATAGGAAAAGATAAACATTTCCCTCCAAAGGAATTTGCAACATGGGACTATTACAATCAGTAGCTACATTTAAAGTTTTTGTCATTACTCAGAGTGCTCTTTAACATCCCAGATTATTAATTTACTAACCTTTAAGTTAGTCTTTCTCAAATGGAAAGAAAGTAAACAATTCTCATGTGTTTCTGTCCTTTTTTATGATGCATAGAACTATAAATTCTCAACCACAAAATTCTAGGGGTTGAATGTATGGGAAATAAAATTTACAAGGTTGACCTCTAGATCCAAATTACCTAATTTTTAGTCCCAATTTGAAAGATTCTATTTACAACATTTTAAGCAAGTTACTTCTTTTTCCCTCAATCTCATGGTCTACGATCACAGAGTTTATATATGTCTATCACATGAAATTGTGCGGTTTAACTGATTAACATGCATAAAGCAATTAGAATACTAGCTGCTATGGAGTGAGTCTATGCAAGTGATAACTATAATTATTACTAAATTATATAAAATTGTTTTATATTTGAGTAGATAGAAATATAATCATATTTTACATTTTCTTAAATATAGTTTTAGTTACCAGTTTTTAGATTTGATTTCAAAAGTGCAGGTAAAAGTAATTGAAAAATGTTACAATCTCTTTAAAGTTTTTTCTCATTTATGTATTTTTAGGTGAAGACAAAGCAAGAATCAGAACTGAAACTCAAATCATTTGTTCCTCCATATGTATGTAATGTGATATTTTAAATTTAAGATTATTTTTAACTTTTGTTTAAATTGTAAAATAATTTTTTATTTTTTACTATATGTTCTAGGCTCTCCAACCAGAATTATATTTGCTTCCTATAATGGATCATTTAGGAAATATTTTTTCAACACCATCAACGGACTCTTTAAATGGGCCACAGATCAATAATGTTGTTGCTGAGGCTGATGGAAAAATCCACATACCAGTTAGTGTAACTTTGTCAAAGGAAGAACCTGGAAGAAATCCCAGCTTTTTAGAAAGCACTTTGAAAGAAGTTCTCAACAAGAACCAGGAAGAAGGTGATTTCAGCTGGATTGGGAAAGACAAAGAGACTATAGTTCATTTTAGTAGTCAGGTCTGTGAGAAAATACTGGGGAAATAAATCTAGCCTTACAAACCTTTCCTTCTGATAGTTTAAAAGGAAAGCAACAATTCAATTTGGGGATTTTTAAAAATTGTCTTTCCAAGTGGGAGGGCAAAAATTAAAGGCTGTGTTAAAATAAAAACCAAATCAAAATACTTACAGCATTTAAAAAAACTCTGCCATCTTTACTTTTAAACTAGCTTCAGATTAAGTTAAAGCTAAAAGAAAAGAGAATGGAAATGATTACTGCATAAAAACTGGGTGGTATTTTAAGTCCAAAAGGATCTTATCCAGGAAAGCAGTGCCAAACCAAAGCAAATGTTGGGTGACATTTGTATTTCAGTGATTTAAAAATTTTTAGATGACTTCACCTATCAATGTACCAGTAATTTGGTTCTTAAAAAGTGGTAAGTCGTTAAGAGATCAAAATTAAATTTATAGCTATACCATTAAAACTGGCACTGTTCTCTTAATAACAGGAAAAAAAAACTGCTGTTTTTTTTTTTTACCTTATTACATGCTGGAAATAAACTGTGACAGAAACATAATTATACTAAAAATATATAAATAAATGGAATCTTCCCTCCAAACTGACAACATCCATTACAATTGCAAAACAACTTGTTCTTAACCAGCTCTGTTTTTCCCTATCTTCTATTATAGCAACTCTTGTTTGAAGTTTATATTATACCCAGTGATATTCCGCATTTAACACTTCCTTTAATTTTAGGTGCATATAGTGTTTACTGTTCTCTTGTGATTGCTGTTTCCAACAAGACAGACTTTTATTGCTTGATGCAGGTGAAAGTCTTTACCTCCTCTATCTAGGCATGGCTCTTCAATGTTAAATATTGCCCTCCTTTCACTCTGTCATTTAAATGTTAAAGAAAGAAAACATCTGGTAGTCAAAAATGCAGAGTAGAATAGAACCCCCATATTCCTTAAAAGTATAAGGTAAAGTGGTTAATGATGAAAGCAACTGCCCTACATAAATCTGTAAGTAATGTCATTTACCATACCCTGGGCTGCTGAACAAATCTCTGAACAGAACGCAAAAAAAGTCTTGGGTGGGAATATTAATGATATGAATTTTGTACTAGTTTCAAATGGTATTAATGTCTTTGTGCCTTTTTTAAAAAAAAATGTTATATTTGAAAGGTCAGTGTATGTGCACTTAAAAAAAGTTCTAGGAACTTCAGTAAATATAAAGAGGAAGATAAACATTAACAGTAATTACCAGGTATAGTCATATAAAATTTTAAAGTCATTGAAATACAAATGTCTCCAGATATACCTTCTGACATATTCTAGTTATTTTATATAAAAACTATTTTTACTTTTTTAAATAAAAAAGACACAAAATTTTTAAAGACTATTTTTAGATAAATATATCAATAAATACAGATCTTCATCACTGTAGAATTCCCTTGGATAAGTCTCATTTATTTATCCAATCCCATATTAATGTTTTTGTTATTTTGAATATTACTGGGAATAAAACATTCTCAATATAAAACTCTATACACTTACCTTGCCATGTCTTAGAAGTTTTTAATTATTTTAAGAAAGAATTCTGCAACCTTGCATGTCTGTCTCCAAGTCCCATCCTTTTCATTCCCCAATTGATATAATTGCTTCTTCGATATTTTGAGATAGTTGTTTTCTTGTTTTTCTTTGTAAGTTTACCACCCATATGTGTTTTCCTAAGTATTTCAGTTTTGTCTATATTGAATTTTATTTAGGTGAAATCATATTTTATCTTGTACTTGTTTCTTTTATTTTGTGATGTAAGAGTCAGTTATGTCACATTATTTCTTTTCATTGTGTAATATTCTAGTGTATGACTACATAATAATTTACTTACCTATTCTGTTGGTGAAGACTTGGTTTTGTTTCTTGTGAGAGTTTATCACAAATGTGGTACATCCTTATATATGACTACTAAATGCACATGTTCAATATCTACAAAAAGATTATATTTAGGATTGGCATTACATGCACATGTTTTAGCTCTACTAAATAACATCCATGTGTTTTCCAAAGTGATTATACCCAGCAAGATGTCTGAAAATTCCTATTGATCTATGTGGTACCATTTTCCTTCTCCTTGTTTCTTTGTTTAGTATTCTGGACAATATCTTCAGAAATTTCTGCTGGAAAGATTTCTTCCAGACTTGTTGATTTTCTCTTTAGCTCTATATATTCCTCTGTTAAATCTCTACACTAAAATTTTAATTATAAATATTTTATATTTTTCAAAATATTTTTTGTGGTTGAACATTTTTTTCATGTTTAATGATCATTTATATTTGCCTTCATTCAGATGTTTGCCTATTTTCTGTTCTTTTAAAATATTGATTCATTTTGTGTGCATATGTATTTTTCTAGCATATGTTATGTATGTATAATTCATTCTAGGTTTCAGTTGTGGTTTCTTTGTTTGTTCTCTTTATGATTGTTTTGCTGAAAGGAATTCTGAAATTTTGTCATCGTGTTCCTAACAACTACTGTTTATGTCTTATCTCTCAGGCTTTTGATTTACATAATTTGGAAGCTGTTATTAAATGCATGTATTTAAGATGTCTTTATTAACCCCTATATTACTATGTCATTTTCTAGGCTATCCATTATGTAACTTCAGCTTTTTAAAAATAATGTGTGCATATGGTCATTAATTTGTTGGCCTCACCTACATTTAATATCTAACATTTTACTAATTGTGAACATTAGAATTGTTAAAAGGGTACAGTGAATCAAGTTTAAGATATTTTATGTGCCACTCTTCTCTGTATAATGCAAATTCACAGGCATAGGTGAATGAAATAACAAAAGGACAATGGAGTGAAGAAAAAGGTGTGGCACATGTATTCATTATTAGATATTTTGACCCATTCCCATTTTCAGAAATATTTTTTTGAAGTTTTATCATCCCTCTGAAAATCAGAATGGTCAATTTTGACATATTTCCAAATATTAGTATATACCTTTAATTTGAAGTTTACATTAGCCTTCATTATTAGTATCCCTTTCTGCTGGGGGAAAAAAACCTCCTTTAACATTTCCTAAAGTGAAGGTCTGTTGAGAGTTAATTCACTCAGCTTTTGCTGTTTGCACTTTTTAAAATTGTAGTGACATTGGTTAATAGCATATAGATCGTTTAGAAATACAGGATCACTCCCTTTGGGTGTATATTGCCACAACACACCCACCACTGGGGTAACATTCTACTGCCTTCTCACTTTACTATTCTCCTCCCCCTCCACTTCTGGCAGTTTTACACCTTCAGTCAGAGTGCTAGGGTTCATTATTGGTTTGGTTTTATCTGATCCTTTGTTTTGTATCTCTGTGTTCCACATATAAGTGACACCACCCAGTATTTGTCTTTCTCATTCTGACTTCTCTCCCTTAGCATGATTCCCTCTGGTTGTTTTGTGTTGTTGCAAATGTTGAAGTGTTTTATCTTGCTTTTTTATACCTGAGTAGTATTCTGTTGTACATCTTCTATATTTATGCCAGCATTTTCTGGAAAAGACATTTCAGAATACTATTTTGAAAGATGCTTTTAGCAAAAACTGAAGACAATTTGTGTGAAACTTCAGTTACCTCTTGCAGATTTATATTGTATAAAAAAACAAAATCCAGAAGTAGGGGAGAGAAAGATTGTTATTTTTCCTTTTAAGGTTGCTTAATCCAACTTTTCCCAAATTGAATTAACTCAAGAATTCTCCTTTCATATAACCTGAAGTTTCATGAAATTCACTTTGGAAATTGTTGCCTTGTATCACATATAGTAAAGTTCTTAGAGATTCTGAAATTGAGGGCAAGATTATAGTATATACATATAAAAGCAAATTTTTATTCTAGTATTTTCTTAACCTTATGAACTTTGTCATGGATAAACATCAACAGCAGCGGGGGGAAAAACCACTCCAAAAAAATACCAGACTACAAAAAATAAAGGAGGAAATTCTGAATTGCCAGGATCTTCGGGAGATTCAAACAATAATCATTTTGGCAACAAAAGGTAATTAACATAGATGTTGAACCCACATGTCATAATCTAAACTATAAGAAAAAGAACAAGATAACCAGAGTACTATTATAAGGAATTCTAATTGAAACTAAATTGTGAGAGAAATTAGTGATACTTTGTCATAAAATTACCTTGATTCTGAGCTTTATTGTTATATACCAACATACCATTTCTCTCCAGTATAATAAGGAATATTGCTTAAATTTATTTCTTTTGCTATCTATTGTCATCACAGGTAACTTAGTGACAAAAAGAATGTCTGTCTTTGTATTTCTTAGAATTAATTGTTCTCTCAGATTCCTGCTATGAGTAAATTAGCCTCAAATTCCTGCTATGAGTAAATTCCTGCTATGTGTTTGAGTTTCACATTGCTATTACTTCTTTCAAAATTATAGTACTTAGACAACAGGTTTGCAAACAGTCTTAAAATTAAGACAAAGGATTTTATAAGTAGTCAAAAAAGTCTAATAAAATATGCTTATAAATTTACAATTACTACTATAGACATTGGGCTAGGTTTTGGATTTAACTATATAGTATAATGAAATATTAGTATAGTATTCATACTAAATGGAGTTTATGTTGATTATTAATGAATTTGAAAGACAATGTAATAGGTAGTGGGCTGACATTTTAAAAATCTTAATGTTATATGTGAAATATAAATAACCAAAGAAAACAAACTGGCAAAGTACAATACAAGACTTAGGCCTGTGAAAACTATTGTGGTTATAAGAGTATAAGACAAAGTGGAAGTGGGGGAAGGAAGTTGAGAAGGATGAATAGAGGGATCAATTTGATAGTACTAGAACTTTGGGGGCAGGTGGGTGAAACATATACACATATCAAAGTGCAAAGCTATACCCCCAAAATTACATATTCATAATAAATTTTAATGTTATATTTGTATTTGCAGAATATCAAATAAGATGTATAAGATGAAAAATGATTCTATGAATCATTTTTAATATGACTTTCAAATCTATCATTCCCTTTAAGTTATTATCTTTGGAAAAATGAAGATAGAGTTAATGTAATTAGAAGAGAGGAAAATCAGGTATGATTAAAAATTTTTAATGTGGTATTGCAATATAGTATTTATATAAAAATTAAGATGAAATTGCAGATCAACATGTCTGAGTGTTTTAACTTTAGGTAAGGTTAGTGGTTGGGAGATGAGACAAAAAAAATTCAGCAGTTTGCCACTTCAGTGAACTTTCTGGGAGTGCCATGATCTGGGACATGTAAAGGTATCCCTTTAAAGTGATATTCAAGTAGTTGTATCTTGCTTCAGTTACCATTCAAATGAGTTACTTGATGGCCCTCTTTGAAATTTTGAGAATGATGAGAGATTTACAGGATTTGGAAGTGCTGCTCCAATCTTTAGTCAAGTAACCTAAAAAAAAAACCAAAAAACAAACCTGACTTTAAATAACCCAAATTAAAAAAAAAAACTATAAGAAAATAAATTTGCATTATTTTAAGACAATAGTATAGGTCTTCCAACTTTGAGTAATCCCAAAACCCATTAACCAAAGTAGTGACTTCGGTTAATTAATTGTTCTATTGTTGCTATTGTATACTGTCTTTACACTTAAAATTTTTTTTTGTCAATCTGGTGGATGCTTATGAAACTTTACTGTGGTTTGAATTTTAAATTTCTTGATTATCCATAAAGTTGACTGTATTTTAATCTTTTTCTTTAGAGGTATCTTTTAAAATATTTTTGTTGATTTGTCTGCTATGTATTTCTGAATATGTGCTATGTTTCTAATGGTATCTCTCTCACCTGTATAGTTTAAGATCTAAAACTACAATATGTACACCACTTACTACCAGCTCTTTGCAAAAGATTTTTTAACTAAAATTAAATAGAAAAAACTCCTAGGTACAATATTCCCTTTTTGCACATTTAAAACTTCCTTTGGAAGAGGGTTAGGCAAAATAAAGTATGCAGCCTGTTTCATAAGAACTAGGACAGAAGAATGTGTTTTAGATTTTTAAGAGTTGGGAAAGTTATGACAAAATTAAGTGGTCTTTAAAACCTATTCTCTGACTCTTCCAGAAAAAGTTTCCTATTTCTTCTGTAGATTCTTGATACATGAAGAATAGCTTGGTTGACTGATAACATCTTTAAGTTGCTTTAAAATTTTTGTTATACTGATGTCTTACCATTAAGAAGTGTGATTTCATTTTGTAAACTGGCTTGGATATTTTAGTCTAGAAGGCCAGAGAAATCTATTAATGTAAAATTGTTTCACAGGGTCAAATCTGTTTTTTTTTTTTTTTGAAAATTGTACCAGGTCCTTTCAGTATGAAAATTTGAGCTTCTTTTAAGACTGTTTTTTTTTTTTTTTCTGAAACTATAATTTAAAAAAACGATTTAAGGGCCCTCCCTGTTGGTGCAGCGGGTTAAAGCACTGCACTGAGAAGCTAAAGCCAATTCCTCATGAGTTCAATTCCTGCCTGCCCCGGAGGTGACCACATGGCGTGGCAGACCTCTCCTGACCCGCCCACTGCTCCCCTCAGCAGTGTACTTCGTTGATCTGCCTGTTCTGCTCCCCGCTCTCTCTGGTGAAGCCTCTCGCCCCCCTGAGCCTCTGGCCTGTACCGCAGTTCTGTATGTACAAATAAAATAAATCTTTAAAAAAAAAAGCGATTTAAATAGATCTGATTAATTATTTTCTTTTTCCTTTTCAGGGAACACAATTAGCCTTATGTTAGATCTTCTTTACCTTTTGTATCTGTCACTTTATCTATGGTCTGTTTTACTGTTTGTTTTGCATTCTTTGTCCTCTTGTTTATATTTCATTCTCATTCTCCAAATACTTCATTATTCTCACTGTATTTTATTCATATCTGTTACTTTTTATTCATATCTGTTATTTTTTCATTTCTGAGAAAATTCTTAAATTTCCCTTGTTTGGCTAACTTATTTTATTTTTTTTATTTTTATTCTGATTTTAAAACTTTCTAATTTCTGGTGTTTGTTAATTTGTGCAAATGTTTATTTATATTTAATCTATGTTGGGAGTATTGTTAAGTTTTCCTCTGCTTCATTATTTGCTGTTTTTCTGTTGATTTTACTTTTCAATTTTTAGGTATTTTTTTTAAAGTAACTTTATGTGTATCATAAATTATTTTGTAGATGTTGTTTGTGTTTGTGTTGGATTTTCTCTATCAGTAATAACAGGCATTGTTATAGAGGAACAGGGAGAAGTATTTTTGGTCACTTACTCTGTTTCTTAGATCTGGAGCACCCTCTCCTGTTGCTGTAGTAAAATTCAGTTATTTACTTATTTTTTTAAATAAATGGGGTCTTTGGGAAGGGACTGAGTATATTTCATTTGGATTCTTCTCTGCCAAATCAAGTGGTGCATCTTTATCTTGGCCATTTTCCCTTCCTCTTACCACCTAATCCCTAAGCTCATCTCTCACTTTCACAGCACTTTCCTCTCTCCCAGAAGCAATTTCTTCCCATGATTACTGCCTTTGTCCTTATTGTCCTTATTCCAGAATAACCTGTGGTTGATATTTAAATCTGTGTGTTGTCTCTCTTATGCATGGTTCACTCTGACTACTGAGTACATACTGCTGACCTAGGGTGTTTATTTCTCCCACTTACATGTAAATTGAACTATATGTAAATTAAAGCATTCTGTATCCTAGGTATGCCATTAACAAAGTATGGGTTATTTTATTTGCTTTCATAATAGTTTGGCTAGTTTAGGTGACACATAGTCCTTTTAAAAACTGATGTTATAAGTTAAGGAAGAACAAAAACTATTGAAAGAATAATTAAACAAACTAGAAGTAAGGTGGTCTCCCTGGTGGTGCAGGAGTTGCCTCAGCACTATCACCCTATTGCCACTGCAGCCTGAGTTAGATCCCTGGCTAGAGAGCCAACCCTTATGGCACAACAGACCTCTCCTATCTCACCTGCTGCTCTCTTTAGCAGTGTATTTCAGTAGCTCTGCCTGTTCTCCTAATTCTGTCTCTGGTGAATCCTCACAAACACCCCTACCCAGCACCTCTGGCCTAGACCTCAGTTTTTTTATGCATAAATAAATAAAAATAAATCTTAAAAAAAAATAGGAGTGAGGCCCTCCCTGGTGGCCAATGGGTTAAAGCACAGCACTAAGAAGCTTAAGCCACTTCTCATGAGTTCTATTCTAGCCTGCCCTAGAGGAGAGCCACATGCCAGGCAGACCTCTCCTGACCCGCCCGCTGCTCCCCTCAGCAGTGTACTTGGTCGATCTGCCTGTTCTGCTCCCCACTCTGTCTGTGGTGGATCCTCTCACCTTCCACATCTCTGGCCTGTACCCCAGTTCCATATGAATAAATAAATAAATCTTTAAAAAAAAATGTTAAAAAAGTAGGAGTGAGGGCTTAATGAAGCTGAAAGTAGAAACTAATAAGTTACAGAAGTAAAAAATCTAACAATTAAATGCAATCTAAGATCTATGAAGTGATAGTGTAACCAATCAATGTTATTTGTTAGAAAAAAGGAGCAGCTCAGAAGTCAGGGAAGATGAAGTTGACATAGACAAAGATACAGAGGTTGTAAAATAAAATAAAGTTTGAATGTGATGGAATTTATAATTTTCTAAAGCAGATATAAACTACCCAAATTAATAGCCATTTTAGAAAATTTAGAAGTTATCATTATAAGTAGCGAAGATCAGAAATCTAGAAGACAACCATGTTAGAAATTAATAATAGACTCTCAGTTATTTTACCCTTCAATTTGAAGCACCTGTGTGTAATGTTTAAGTAATAGAATGGAGAAGCTGGAGTATGTGAGAAAGACTACAGCTATTTATACAGATTTGAGAGTTCACCACCATATAAGTAAAAAAAAAAAATGCATTGCTGTTATCCATTGCCAAATGCTTATAGGTAGGTGAAAAATAATGTGTCACCCTACCAGATCTTACTGATTTTTGTATTTGCTTACAGATTGGTAAAAAAGAGTACATCACCCTACCAGCTCTTGATTTTTCTTCACTTCATCGTCAACCTGTTCTTTCTCCAGGAATAAATGATAGCTCTTTACTACAGATTGAAAGTAAGTATCTTAACACTGTAAATACAGATATTCTGGGAGGTAAAATTTAACAAGTGTTAATAGGTAGTTACTGTTTAATGGTAAAGAGCTTCAATTTGGGAAAATAAAAAAGATCAAAGGGTGAACAGTTGCACAACATTTTAATTGTAGATGCCAAGGAACTATACCATTCAAAATGATAAACTTTATGTATATTTTATGCACAAAAAAGTAATTTTAAAGTGTATGAATTTTATGTTGACTACCATAAAATTAAATGCTAATAATATTTCTGCTTAAAAAACTCTTAAATATGTATTTTCCATGTCAGATTTAAATACTGAATGTAACTTTGGGCCCAAGGTAAATTTACCAGAATAATTAAGCTAAAAAATTTAACTATTTGGGCTTTATGTAAATTCAGAAGAGACATATTGTTTGTTTAGCTAGCTATAAATTCCCATATGTTTTGCTTTTAGAAACTGAAATGACTCCTCAGTGTTTTCCATAGTAGTAAATGCTGTTTTATAGTAATAAAAATAGAGTTTTATGTAAAATTTATTCTTTCTCTATTATGTACTCTGAGTTTTATATTCTACATTTTAGTATATGAACCATCTTTTAGCTTTCCAACATTGATGAGTGTGAGCTATAATCTTTTAGGAGAGAAGATTATTGAACAAACAAAACAAGTAAAGGAAGAAAGAATATACCTGGAAAGAATTAGAGAAGACCTAGTAAAAAAAATTGAAAAGCTATTTCAACAAAGCAAATTAAAACAACATCATGGTAAAGTATACTGCATGTCTTTTTTCACTATAAAGAAAATTTAAGTCTTACAAAATTTGTGATTTTGGAATAGTAAAATTATAATTATTTAATGCTTTATAGTTACTGTTTAGGTGGTATACTATTGATATAAGTTCTATATAGAAAACAAAATCATTGTTCAATTTTATTTTATGCAATATGCACAGCATGCTTTACGTAGTCTTTTTTAAACTAAAATTTATTTTTTAAAGCAAATTAATTGACATTTTCTCATTCATTAAATAAGTATTTATTAGGTGCCTGCTGAATTGAGCCACTGTTCTATGGGCTGAGAAGACGATAATAGGCAGACACAAGCTTGTATCTGTGTAGTCTAGTGGGGAAATGATAAATTAAGCATACATCGTGATGAAATACCATACACTGGTAGAGGAAATACCATATTCCCATAGTCTGTGCATTGGTGTACAGAGAAAGAACACTGAATTGAATGGATTAAGAGAAGACAGACTTTCCGGGAAAGTGTTGGATACAGTAGAATCTAAAGTGTGCCTCTCTTGGCTGCAAGACTTTTCCTTTTCTTCCCCTCTACTTCGTGTCCTGTCTTCTCATTCTATCCCTCTTGTCCCAGGTCAACCAATCATTCAGTCTCGATTTTAGATATTATTTATTCTGAAGTCTGTTTAATCCTTTGGTCTCACTAAGGTGCTTTAATTTTTTGATATGTATATCTCTGTTGAACTGAACGAATAAATGAAATTAGGTAAAGTGGGTTTTATTGTAATAGAATTGGAAATAGTGTTCGTGGAACTGGTAGAAATGAAAAACAATGAGTCAGTGGGAAGAAAGTATAGGATAATGGTTTGAGAGATGAAATAATTTGAGAAGCCTGAAAGGATTAAGGGTAAAAGGTGTGTATGGAAGTAAATAGTTTGAGTATTCTCAATATACAGCAAAGTTATTGTTTTAGTACTAGAACTGACTGGAGGTTATGGACAATATCATGAATTATTTCTGAAGGTTCTATCTCATTATATTAAAGTATTATTCCAAAAGTGGTCGCAGTGACTCAGCCTTATTATATTGTTTAAAGAGCAATTTTATCTTAAAAAATTTGAGTGGACCAGGATTCAGGATGTCAGATCAATTTTTTTTAGATAAGTTATTTCTTCCCTTTGAGTCCCACTCTTCTGTTTATAAAATAAGAATCATCACTTTCTATTTCTTTTTATATAAGTTTTTTTTTATTAAAGTAACATTGCATTATAACAGTATATAAACTTCAGGTGTGCATCATTGTATACCAATAGTCATTTTCTATTTCAACAGGAATGTTTCAAGATTTAAGCCATCAGATATTTATTGAGCCTCTTGCCTACTAAGTGCCTCAATTTCCAGCATTGTTTTAAATGCTAGGATGTAGTACTAAAGACCAATTTGGCCTGCCCTTAAGAAGTTTGCTTTTAATGGAAGAAATAGACAATAACTGAGAAGTCCATTAAAAAGTTCAGTAATGAGCGGTGTAGCTGGAGAGATTGCTTTAGTGAGGGTTTTCAAGGAAGGCATCTCTGAAGAGATATTAAGACTTTATTATTAAGGAGGTAGGTATATAAAGAAATAGGGGGAAAAAACAGAGACAGGAATTAACCTGTGGTATTATGGACCTGAACTAAGAACAGTGTGGCTGGAGCATGCGTAATATATAAAAAGGAATGGAGATCAGGAAAGAATAGGTAATTCAAGGTATTTAATTTTATTCTGAATAAGCTGGGAAGCCATTGGAGGATTTTTTTTTTTTTTAAGATTTATTTATTTGTGCATACAGAACTGGGGTACAGGCCAGAGTTGAAGGGGCGGTGAGTGGATTCACCAGAGACAGAGTGGGGAGCAGAACAGGCAGAGGGGAGCGGCGGGCAGGTCAGGAGAGGTCTGCCACCCCATGTGGATCACCTCCAGGGCAGGCGAGTGAAGCTTTAGCTTCTTAGTGCTGTGCTTTAACCCGCTGCACCACCAGGGAGGGACCCCATTGGAGGATTTTTAAGCTGGGTATTTACATGAATTTAAAAATATTTTTAGAAAGCTCAGAATAAACTTAGAGTGACAAAATGGAAACAGAAATCAATTAGTTTAAAAAAAAAAGCAGTTTTTTTTGATAGAATTAGATTGATAAAAGATGTCACTGAGGAAGGTGGGATATGCCACATTCTGGGAGTAGTTTGACAGTAGTAACTGTAGAACTGTAGGTATTGAAAATAAGTAAAATCTCAAAGTTAAGTTCCCTATATCTATAACTTTAATCAAGTCACTTTACATATAGAATCTCTAATTTGAGGTTTTCATTTCTATAATCGTGTAATAGGAAAACAAAATTAAAGAAATAAGTAGAAGTATATTCTGAAATACTAGCATACAGTTTGTGTTTTGAGTTTGCATTTAGAAAATCCATCAGTGTCAAAGTGATTACTGATATTAACATAAATGTTTAATTTCTAATTTTTCAGTCAAGTGTTCCAGGCTTAATAAATTCTGTCCTTGAGAAATTTTGGGGTGTATTTGGAATAATTTTGAGAAATGATGAATCAGAATTTGCTGATTATACAAAAAAAGTTAATTTTGGAGTATGTAAAGATAAGGGAAAATCTGAAAAAACATATGCTTCTTTATTTAATAGTCTTAATTACATAATAATAAATTCAAATCTGATTCTGGGGAAAAGCAATCAAAGAATATATACATTTTGTGTAGGTAATTTTTTAAAAGATTAATTTTATTTATTTGTGCATACAAGAACTACTGGGATATAGGCCAAAGGTGCGGGTCTTGAGAGGATTCACTAGAAACAGTGAGAAACATAACAGGTAAATCTCTGAATGACACTGCTGTCATGCTGCCGTGGCTGGCGATATCTTGATAGTACCAAGACCTTAATCCCTGCATCACCAGGGCAGCCCTTGTGTAGGTAATTTTTAATTAAAAGTTTTTTTCAGAAATAATTACAAGCTAAAGAAGAATGTAGTTCTTTACTTATCACTATTATAGTTGCAAGCAAGTCCTCTGTTATCCAGTAAACATTTCTCTTAGCTCTAATTTCTTCAGAATATAAAGGAGAAAGAGGAGAGAGAAAGAAAGTTTTAAATTAACTCTAGGGTCCTTTGCCAGGTTGAAAGGTTTAATCTTTTAATAAGATTCATACTATAGCTAGCCTTTGCTTTGCTTGTAGGCTTTGGTAATTGGAAGAAAAAGTACCTTGAAACAAAGAAAATCACAGCATCATTAGATGAATCTTTAAAAAAGCTTCAAGAAGACTTGGAACTTTACTATAAAAAGTTGCTTATGCAACTTGAAACCAGAGAAATCAGGATGAGACCCAAAAATCTGGCAAGCGTCACAGAATCCAAGGTACTACTAAATGGGTTCCCTCTCTGTTAGAGAAGTTCTATTGAAAATACATGCTTTATAACTATTAATGTTACTTAGGATGCTTTGGGCTGTAGGCAACAAAACTTTGACTTACTCTGTTTTAACTTTAAGAAAATTCATGTAGTGGATGCTGAGGAGATAGAATCAGCACCTTTACGATGTTCTTCAGAGCCTGAGGCTCCTGATATTCCTCTCTATTACTTCTTTGTTGACTTCTCTGTAAGACTGCTTTTCCTCGTTCGTTGTAGAGTTGCCAATAGCAAGTAAGACTACACACGCACACATTTATATAACTTTATATAACAATTTTCTGGTGGGGGGTTAACTAGGTTTACCCTTAAATGGTAATAGCTACGAGACAATACTATATGCTAATTGATTTAGACTAATTAGGAGCTACCTTCGTACCTGGAATAGGGTCATATTGTTTGATTTTCTGGGAAAGAGATAAAATATGGCAGGGAGCTAACAGTATTCATTCATTACATTCCTTTTTTCTCTTTAGTTGGTTAATAACACTCATGAATGCTAGAGGTATTAATGTTTTAAAGAAATTAAACCAGCAGTTTATTTTTTTTTGAGATAGTCATGAATATTGACAGATCAGAGCTGTGAAGCTTATTTCTAATTGAATAATTCCACCATATAATTCAACAATACAATTTCAGAGGTCAGTTACTAGTTTAACATCTGTTGGTTGATCCTACTTTGATAAAAGGATTTTGTTACTTAATGACTAAGAACATGAATTTGACTTAAGACAAGATTGAAATATTGCAAGTTTATGACTGTTTTCAGGATTTATTGAGATATAGTTGTCATCTAATGTTTTAGTTTACCATATACAGCATAATCATATTATTTGTTTCTGTTGTGAAATAATCACAATAAGTGGTAATCATTTCACATGACTACAAAAAAATTTTGAAACATTTTGAGATCTACATTTTTACCAACTTTTCAGTATATAAGACAGTGTTAACTGTAAGTACCATGCTCTATAGTATATTCCCAGAATTTATATTTCTTGTAACTACAATTTTATACCTTTGACCCACTTCTCCTATCCCCTACCTCTGCCTCTGGCTCTTCTATTTCTGTGAGTAAAGTTCACCAATTTAGATAAATTTACTACAAAATGCAAATATATTCAGGTAATAATTTGTCCCTATTCATGTATATGTGAACAGTAAATAGTAATTTACTCCAGAGAAATATGTTTATGTAATATAATAGATTATGTTCATTATTTTTTCTTTTAATATTTGTTATCACCTCACAGTTTAATTTCAAGGTAGTTAAAAATAAAAATGTATAGACGTTCTTCTGCATAAAGACAATTTCATATTTCCCACACAGAATTACCTTATAATCCAGATTACTGAGGTACAACATGCAATTGACCAACTTAAAAGAAAACTGGACACTGACAAAATGAAACTCATAATAGAAGTTAAGGTAATTTTCATTTCTTTTAATCAGATTATAACATCATGATCTAAAATATTTTGGTCTTTTAACTTTGATTGTTAATTTCACAAGGATAGTAAGGATGAGTACTGTCTTAAAATTGTTTCCTTAACAGCAAAGAATATGAGTGGGAAAAATAGCAAGAATACCAACTAAATCATATGAAAAGATGCGTAAGGGCCCTCCCTGGTGGCACACCATGTTAAAGCATAGCACTGTGAAGCTATGGCAACCACTGCAGCACGACTTCAATCCCCTGCCCCAGAGGTGACCCACATGGCATGGCAGACCTCTCCTGACCCGCCCGCTACTCCCCTCAGCAGTGTATTTCAGTGCATCTGCCTGTTCTGCTCCCCACTCTGTCTCTGGTGAATCCTCTCACCTGCTGCATCTCTGACCTGTATGCATAAATAAATACATCTTTTAAAAAAAGACTTATTTTTTTAAAAAAGATGCATGTTATAACAAGATCAAAATAAAACTTTATAAGATTTCACTAAGGATTAAATGAAAAGGGCACTGCGAATCAGTATAAAGCTTCAATAAAACATTTTTAAAGAAGTAGTTGTCCTATATTAGAGTCTCTCAGAAGTCAGACAAACCAGTGAGGTTTCCGAACTCAACTATAATTTCCCCCTTCCTTAGATAATTATCTCATTCTCGCTAGAGATAAACACACATACACATGTACATATACATATATGTACATATACACATATGTACATATACATATGTATAGACACAAACTTATGTGAATTTTTTTATGACTTCTAGGTCTTTTACTAATGTTAAGTTTCCTTCAGAGCAGACTCTACCTTCGTTAACTTTGTTTTTCCCATAGAACCTTGAGTATAGTAAGAATAGTAGACATATTTTTATTTGATAAGAATTATATATAATTATTTTACCACAAGAATAATAACTGAAATCTAGATATCTTAACTTTTTTGTTAAAACAGAATACAGAATAAGATTATACATTTTCACACAAGTGTCCACACAGGGCAGGAAAACAAGAATGATAATTATATAAATGCTTTCAGTTTACTTTATCAGAAGTAGCTTTGGACTTAGGATATGACTCCTTTCTAGAATTAGCATTATTCCAACAGAATCCAATAGAACTTTCACTGTCTGTTTCACTATCCACATTAGGGTATGAACACTGGAAATGTGGCTTGTGTTACTGAGGAAGTTAATTTTAATTTATTAATTTTAGTTAATTTAAAGTTACATGTACAAATAGCTACTGTATTAGTACTACAGTTCTAGATTCTTTTCACTAGCACTGTTCTTATTTCATTAATAACTTGGTTCAGCATTGAGAAATTTAAAACTTAAAATATAAAAAAAGGCACAACATGAGTTATTGAACATTTGTATACAGTGTACACTCAAAAAATTATATGTTCAGTGAATGAAAACTCTATATTAAAATATGCAGAAAGCTAGTGTGGAAACTTGCATGCTTAAACATTTTTGTGTAGGTAGATGGAGTAATAAAAATGTTGCCAGAGATTTCAGTTGTGGCTGACTCAATGCGCTTTTCTTTTGGAAAGTATGCATATTAGATCGTATCATCTTTGTATAACTTAACATTATTAATTATCACTTCTGAGTGGTTTGAACTAACTGGTACAAAAAAAGGAAGACAAACAGAAGAACTGAAACTTTATATTACAGACAGCAGAGCTGGGGGTGGGAGGGTCCTACATTTAACCATAGTACTTAATGGGCACGATGGGTTATTTATTATTGGCTTCTAAGTGATACCAAAACTACCTTCAAGATTCAGAACTAAGTGGTAGAAAACCTAGTCTGAGACTATTGGAGCATTACTTAAAATAGCATAAGTAATAATTCTCAAAGCTTAATGTAATAACCTCTTAGCAGACCCTAACCTAGAACAGGGGTGAAGCCTGAGAATCTCCAACCCTAGTAAGTTCCTAGATGATGCTAAGGCTGTGGTTCACAGGCACTACTAAAATAACAAGCGCTGTGGCTTTTGAGTTTGAATTCTGACTGAGTCACTTAATAGGTGTATACCTTGAGCAAGCCACTTATCTTCTAGGTATCTCAGTCTCCTCAGCTGTGTAATGGAGATAAATAATACTAACTACCTCAGATCAATTTTGAAAGGGTCAAAGGGGGTAATACACTTAGAAGAGTGCTTGCTATGGAATAAACACTATTATTTCTTAAGTACTGGTTCCATTTCTAAGGCCCCCAAATTTAACATTTTATTATTTATTTTGTTAATGTTTTCTTTATACATGATAATAATGTTGAAGCTTGAGCGAGAAATTAAATTCTTTCTCTATATTTTTAGAACAGTTTAATTTTATTACACCTACATACTAATATATAAATTATTTGATGGCCTATCTAGCAATAAATAAATAAATGTGTTAAATATGACTGATGTAATAACTAGTAATCCAGTGGGACTGAACATAGAAGGCAAATGAAGAGAAGACAGTTAAGACAGTTACAAAAGTCTGTATTTGCATGATAATATGTAAATTTAGAACGGTAAGATGAAAGTTCCTTTTTGAAAGATAATTCTTTTTTATAGATGAAAAAGCAAGCAGTGACAGATTTACGAACACTGAAAGCTGAATTGGCACAGAAGAAAATAAATACACCTGTACAGTCTCAATTAGGTATGTTAATTTAAAATGTTTATTTGTCAACAATTTAAATATTTATTTGAACAGCTTAGCTTAACTATTATTCTCCTTGTCAATGTTTAATATAAATGATAAGTTACATATATTTTCACTCTTCGTGTGGATCATACAGGGTGTTTCAGAAAATATTAAATATTAAACTATAGCAAGACAGTGTTTGGCTATAGTTTAAGGTTGTACGTCCCTTACCTGTTATTTTGCAGCACTGTATTTTATAATCTTTATTTAAAAATAGTCAAAAATAATAGCTAAGGTGGCTATAAAATTATAAGGAAAATCCACATATTTTAATAAGTATAAATACATTTACAAGTAAAATATAATTTAATTTTTTTATATTTTAGTTAAAAGCAATATGGAAATATAAAAGAACAGGGATACGAATCTGGTGTCCAGACTAGAGAGATTAATTCAAGAACTGAAATTTTAAAAATTTATTTAGAAATACAGAGACATTAGTAATTCAGCAACTACTGTGGGGAACTGGTTGGTTTTACTCTGCTATACTTAATTTTGCAAATGGGAAATGAAGTATTCTCATAATAGATGCCTGAACCATCATTGATGTCAATTTGAAGGAAATATGCAAGTAAAACAGGATCTATATAAATAGGTAGTTCGAGGATTGTAAATTTTTTTTTTTATTCATACAGAACTGGGGTACAGTCCAGAGATGCAGAGGGTGAGAGGATTCACCAGGGACAGAGTGGGGAGCAGAACAGGCAGATCGACAAAGTACACTGCTGAGGGAAGCAGCAGGCGGGTCAGGAGAGGTCTGCCACGCCATGTGCATCTCCTCCTGGGCAGGCAGGGATTGAACTCATGTGGAAGTGGCTTAAGCTTCTTAGTGCTGTGCTTTAACCTGCTGGGCCACCAGGGAAGGCCCAGATTGTAATTTTTAATTCAAGTATTTATAAGGAGTCATAAGTATACCTCAATGTTCTTAATTGCATGGAGAAAGCAAATAGAGGTCTCTGCACATTTAGAAAAGTTCTTTGCACAATATTTCTCTTTTAAAAAGAGAAACAAATTTAATTATGATAAGAAAATAAGCACAAAAATAAATAGATGTCTGTAACTTAAGGAATATTAATAACTGGAAGGATAAATGAACATTAACAGTTTCAGAATTAATACCAAATATTTCCTATTGCAAATTTCAGATGTAACCTCATAAAAATTTAGTTGAAAAATAGTAAGTAGCTCTAACCTACTAACATAAATATTGGTACATTATCTTCTATCTTGTATTTTAATCCTTTGTATTCTTTTTCTCTCTGGAGGATTAAGTGAATTTAATTCAGGTGGCTCTGAGAACATGATTACTATATGAAGTCAGGAAGTAAAAAAAATATTTGCATTAGTTTGATCAACCTAAATAAAAGACACTAAATTGCCAGTTTAAAATATAGATTTATTGACTTTAAAAAAGTACAATACAAACTGCTTTTCAAAACCCATGTTTTTAAAAAATCTACTCTAAGCAAGCAATTTCCACTCCAGTTATACATATTTTAAACATTAGCACTGATTTATAAGCATATACTTTATGGAGGAAATTTAGCATAATAAAATTCTGAAAGCAATTGCTTCTAACAGTGATACTAAGATATCCTATAGAAGAATATTTGCTATCATAAGTTGGCTTATTTCTTATATTTCTGGATACAGAAGACAAATATTTGTGTTTCAAATTCAAACAGTCAAAGCATTTATTTTTTATCTGGCTTTGAGTACACTAATAACTAAAACACATAGCAACATGAAAAAAAAGTAGACCTTTTTTAATCTCTTGAAGAAATTAGTTCTATTTGTACATACTATTTTTCTAAATCTTAATAGTTTGACAGAGATATTCACCTTTATCACTTTAGTTTTAAGACTTTCCACATTTTTTCAGTTTGCTCTCTGGCTTCCGCATCTCCAGAGTAGTCAAGGCAATTTGCATTCCACATGCCAATGCCCCGTAGGCCATGGTTTAGGATGTATGCTTTCTTTAAAAAAATGCTCTCGGGATTGTCATACCATACTTGATGAAAATGGCCAGCATGATCCTATACAAAGAAATTAAGATGGAAACTTAAATACTCAGAACAAGACAGAGTTTCCTAAATCCAATGATTAAAAAAAGGATATAATCAAATAATAAAAACGTAAGACACAAGACTTTTCCAGCCATGTGGTACCATGGTTCTGAATATAATGTTTTTTGGTTTCATTGCTTGTGACACTTTTTCACAGTAGCAATTACATCTTGCCTCTTAGTATTTTCTACTGAAGATTCTTCTCAATACCTTGATTCTTTTCTTGCTCTGACCTGATGATTACTAACCAAGATGTATATTTGAATCACTACTTTCAAAAGTAGATACCTGGGACTAATACCACATGAAGTATACTGAACCAAAATGTTGCTGTGCTTGGTGCTAGGATAAATATTTATGTGGGGTTTAATGTTTCATTAGGTATTTCTGATATGCAGCCAACGTTAAGGAAAATCATTATTCTTTTCTAAAACCAGCTTATATACTTTTTTATATTCTTTACAGTTACTGGAAGTGTGCCTAGTTAGGAGTGCAACAGATGATTTTGTTTATGATGAATCAGCCAAGTCAAAAGGTAATGGCAATGAGGAGGAAAATATCTCCTTTTCTAGGTCTTATGGAATTGATTCTAAGAGCCTGTCAGGCCTGGACTACATGGGCGACTTATGACCACAAACATCTGATTAAAAACCATTACCTAGGAAGAAAATAGTCTTATGCCCACTTTTCACTCTGTAGAGTTCTCCCCAGCCTTGATCTGGTACTGACACTCTCCCTTAGAAGGTACATCACTATTGGTTAAGAGACAAATCAAAGAGGAAAGAAGCAGATTTAGGCAAAATAGTAAAGGAAGAAGAAGATAGGCGCAATAGAAATAGAATGGTCTGGGCTTCTTTAATGGCACAAGGGGTTAAGTCTCAGCACTATGAAGCTAGCTGTAGCCACTGCAGCGTGAATTTGATTCTGGCCAGGTAGCGAGCCCACATGGTGCAGCAGAACTCTCCTGTGTCACCCGCTGCTCCCCTTAGCAGTGTTTTTCAGTCAGTCTGCCTGTTCTGCTCCTCAGGGTCTCTGGTGAATCTTCTCGCTCCTCCCCACACACCTCTGGCCTATACCCCAGCTCTTGTATGCATAAGTAAATAAAATAAATCTTAAAAAAAAAAATAGAATGACTTGTGATTAGAATTTACTGATTTTTTTTTTTACATATATCCAGGAAACATTTTAAAGGCAATTCTCAAAAAATGCGAATACTGTTTTTATTTATGGTAATATAGCACCACTTGAATTAGAATAATTTCCTAAGATAATTATTTTAAAGGATAGTAGTCAGTTGGTAAATTAGTAAGCTGTGACATACTTAAATATAATAGACACATTACTTAAAAGAAACATGCTCAAGAGACCATTGTGTACCTAAATACAAAAAGATTTCTTTTTAAAGGTTCAGGGCAAATCTAAAGACACATAACTAGTACTGTGAGCCTTTTTGCTTCAATTAAGAAATTGCAAGTGCTTCAAAACAGGGAATGATCAAATGATAAAAACTTAAAGTATATAAGGTTGATAGATACCTGATTAAGGCATATATATTTTCAAGAATATCAAGTACAGAAGGAAGCTCCTATTCTAAGACAGCAAAAGAAGGCAAAATGCTCTTTCAGAAAAGAAACTTGATTTTGGTTGCTAAAGAATTTTCCAATGAACAAAAGAAAAAAAGAGGAACAAAGTAGTTAAAACTAGTTTGTTATCTAGAATGCCATTATACAAACTTCAGTGGTGGTAGGTAGGTGTGAAGTTGTACTGCTGAAAATTATAGTATTGTAGTCAATTAAATTTACTTAAAAGTTAATAAAGTATGATTAAATGAATGGCCTTCAAGGCTCATTAAAACATGTCCTGGATTCTAAGATTTTAAAAAAATGTATCATAGTTTTCACTATCTTTCTATATCACACACTTGGTCACATATAGCCTTCACCAAACTTACATCCTGAAACATTCTCCCCTCTGATGTTTCTAAGAGTGCTGTGAAACAGGATTCCATGTTAAACAATTAAACATTTGTCTGTACTGCAACACTTCTCAAATCTGTTAAGATGATTGTTGTATATTATAAATCTTGAGGAGAGACATTCAGTAATCTGTGTTTTCCGTATATAGTTGGTCATGGGTAGTGTGTGTGTGTGTGTGTGTGTCTGTCTGTCTGTCTCTCTGCATGTGATAGTAACAGTTCATGAACAGTTCTGTAGAAGTGAGTTCTACAGAAGAGAGTTCTATAAATACTGTTGGGCAAAGATAGGCTTACAATATACATTTTAATTAAACAAACTTTTTCTGCTTAATTAAAAGATATATTGGAAACAGGAATTAATTAAGTCCTGTTTAATTAATATGTAAGTATCTTAGAGTCTAGAGTTTAGAGAGCTCTGCACTAAAAGCTTTCTATATACTTGGCATGAAGATATGTAAATGTCTATCAAGTATAACTTACTAAATATGTATGCTTTTAGTCATATCTTAATAAATGGATATCAGGCCATTAGTCAGAAATATAAATTCTTGCAGAAATTAATTTATATCATATTTTAGGGTTCCCTTTATAGAAACATAATCCAAAGTAAAATCAGAGATGGCTTGTACCTAGACTTCTGAGTTATTAAAATGGTTTTATTATGCTAAAGGTAAATTATGAAAAATACTTACCTCTTTGGTATGGAAATTCCTATTTTCCAATAGATATATTATCTGACAAGATTGATAATCATTTACTCTCCAAATTTTTGTAATATTTTTCTGTCTCTAATTTTGAACATTGTTCATAATTTGTCTGATATCATACAGTTTGATTGAATGTGAAATTTAAATTCATATTGTTTTCCATTGTTAAGTCTATGATGACGTTCTGACCCTCATTCTTTCCTGTATAGGAGCTTCATCAGAATCTTTAGGCTATTACAAAATGGAGATTATAGAGCTAGTAAACTATTTGGCCCAAAGCCTTTTCAAAAGCCATAGTCATCATACATAATTGTCAGCTATTAAAGAAATACTGTTTGTGAAATGCATGTATCTGTAATTTTCTCTAAAATGACAAGGGACCCACGCAGAGCAGTTCTACAACTAACATAACTTGAATTGCTCACCAGGGAAATCAAGTTCCTGAATCCACAGATTTAAAGACAAGTTTACTTATGCAAACAGCAATCTGTATATTTACCCTGACAGAAATTATTAATATCAAATACATACATACATGTGAAAATATATAATTATGAAAACTTATGGTATTCAAAATTTGTAAAGTCTTACTTTATAGTTATAATAAGGAGCCTGTTGAACTTTATCCCACTGGCTTCCAGAAATAGAGGTGTTTACTTGCTTCATAATCACTTTATAGGGCACCTGACGCCCCGCAGCATCACTACAGGGAGCACCCCGGAAAGGGATTTTTGCAATGGTACAAACATCTTCCTAGAAATGAGAAAATGACCATATTATAAATTATCAACTCAATAAATCTTAAAAGCCAAATCAGAAAATGCAGTAAAATACTATTTTTTAGAATTATATATATACACTATAGCTCAATAAACTGACTATGCAGAAGAAAGTTAAATTAAATTCCATTGTTTAAAGGCAGATATAACATTCAGGCATTTCCAGGGGATTAAATAATTAAAAACAAATTATTTCACATTTCCATCTTAAACTTTTAAAAATTCTAAAGTTTATATGTTCTATGTAGACAGCATAATAAATTTTAATTAAAGTATATATTTTTATACACACACATACACATACATGAAACAAAACAGGCTTTAAAAAATACAATAGAAAGAAAAAACTTATCTAAGAAATTTCTGTTCTTACCTCTGATAGATTCAGGCAGGTATAATCATAACCATACCAGGGAATACCCATAACAAGTTTCTTAGGGTTAATACCCAACTTGATATAGTCATCATATCCTAATCAGACAAGGACAGAAAAAGCATATCTCTCTTGATATGGCTACAAATGTGTTCACACAAGCTATGCAACCACTCAGAATCTTTGTAATATGTGAAATAGTCCTTAACTGCAAATTCCATGTCACTGTCTAAACCATTTCTTTTTGAATAAAGCTAACATTCAAAGCACTTTAAATCGAATTAAAGCCAAATCTCTCAATTTAATTCCAGGAAGAATAGCATATTTCAGGAAAGAATGTTGTGTCTGTTAACTATTAAGACAGGACACATCTAGTATTCTAAATAAAGTTTGAAAAGTGTTCTACAAATCAAATTTGGCAGAGATGGTCTCAGAATTGCTTATGGAAAACACAACTGTTCCATATTTTTAAAATGTCCTCTATGAATAATAGCTGGAGATAGGAAATGCCCCCCTTTTTAATAGAAAACAAAGAGGAAAAGTGAAAAAAATTCCTGGTATTATCAATTCTTGTTCAGTGCTGCAAAATATGTTTTCCTACCACAAGATGTTCCAAGACTACCTAGAATGTTAAGCAAGTTTGCTGCTTTCCAGGGCCTTTAAAGTTAGTATGTATGGTAAAGGATTCATGAGCAGTATAGGGTGTGCATTATTTCCCAAACATTTTTGGTGGCTATATCTATATGAAAAAGAAGAGATTGATTGATTATTATTTATTATTGATTTATTCATCAATCAACAGTTGAGCTAACTGCCCCAGGAAATTTCAGTTGCATTCAAAACATAGAAGCCATCTTTTATTCAATTGGCTGGTGGGATACAAACCAACAAAACTATGGAAAAAATAACACCATATCATATGAGTCAGAGACCAGAACTACTCTTAATTTTCAGTATAGCATGAATACTAATATTAAATGTCAAATAAGATAAAGCCAGTTCTATCAGTCATGTAGTAGTCACATTGTAACTGTCTTTGCTATCAAATTATCTAATTGATTAAACAAAAATAGCCTGTCAAATTCTAAATATTCTAAATAAGCACATATCTTCTTGTGACTAGAGTATTGACTTGAAGTTAAAACACCTGCTTGATTTTCAGCTTTAATACCTTATTGGAATCATGAGAATGTCAATGAACTTCCCTTCACCTAACCTACAATAGAGGACTAACAATAATATATGTATCCCATAACATTTTTAGAAAAATTAATAACAAAACCTTTAAAACTTTAAAGCTCTCCAAATTGATTTTTATATTCCAAGCTAAGCAAATGACGTTGAAACATATACATATACATGTAAAAATATATATTAAATAGATCTTAGTGTTTGAACTTCTGAGATAAATATTATGAAGTTATCTTTCTGTGGATTCTTACCAGTAATTGTTTGATTGTAGGGAGCATTGGCTGCTGCAATACATTCTGACCAGATCTGACTTTGTTCATCATAAGACATCACGAAAAGAAAGTCACAAGCATCTGCAATTCCAGTATAATTATAGCACCGTCTGTCTATGCACTTTGGAGACCAAGCTACATCAAAGGTTACCTGTGGAAAAATACAGGCCATTTTAAGTAATATGATCAAATATGCATATTATGTCGGATGTTATATTGATTATAAATTCTCTAGTATCATACTATCCAAGAAAAAGAATTGCTTGCATGTATGAACATAGGGTTTGACATATATAGAACTAGAACAGTTCTAAGAAGTATAGTTTTTGCCAACATGAACTGACCCAGACATGTATTTGGACGATATTTTGGACATATGCAATGATGAGCAAGGCATTATAAAGAAGAAAAGCCTTAAACTTAAATGTCTTTTAAAGGTAACTCAACTGACTGGAAGAAACAGGTATAATGATAATAAGATATGGTAGACCCCCTAGCTACTAGAAAGTAAAAACACATTAAAATAATTCAAATATTAAGGGTCCTAAATATTATGGAGGCTAAGTAGGTCACTTGTTCATAAGCTGATTGGTCTATGTTGGGAATTTGTGCCCCCATTTACAATTATGTTATATAGGATTTTATGGCAATAGGTATAATCTACTCAAAATGTCAAATAAAGCACTAATTGGTCTTATTTTAAGGAAACAAAATGGGTGCTAAATTATCTTTCATTTAGCATGAAAGTCTTCAACAAGGATAAAGTCTCTTTAAATATTTATTGCCTCTTGCCTTAAGCACTTGATAATTAGCTTTATTTTATATGTGTGCAAAGAAGCTTCATGTTTTATTTCTTAATTAGGCAGTCAGTAAACACATCATTATCACAAAAATTAAGATATTTTAGTTAAATGTTTACCCAATTTATTCTCTTTATAGAACTTTCTCAAAGTTCTATCATTCCCTGAGTATCTATCCAAAGGCAGCTTTCCTTTACTAATACAGCTTTCCTCAATAGCTCTGCAGCAAAATGTTATAAAATGAAACGTGTACAGATTGGATACCATTTTGTCCACTCCTATTAAAAAATGGGAGCTGAAGTAGTAGAGAAAATAAATGATTACCTCTAAGCAAAAATTTCAAATCCATTTTATAAGTCCTTACTTCCCTCCTTAGCATTTTACCTGGATTTCTTGTCATAGCCAATCTCATTTTTCAGGAGGCAGTATTAGGCAAGAAATAAAAAAACTTGGGGTGTAGTCTCAGCTCTGATTTAATCCATCTTTGTTACTTAGAACATCTGAATCTGTTTTCGCACCTATAAAAATGAGGTGTAGAACTCTTCAAAAGTATTTCCTGCTCTTTTCTTTCAGTTAATTATTAAACACTTGACTAAGTGTTACTGTTGTGCCATCATCCCAATCCAAACTATAAATTCCATGGTATTTGGCTGAGTTGTTCTTATTGGTCTTCCTTTCTCCTCTAAACTACATACAACTATAGAATAGTCTTCCCCAAACAATTCCTACACATATATAACATACAGGCTGCAGATGAAATGCATTCTGTTCGATCTGACATTCTGGTTTTCCACAATCTAGCTTATCTTGGCAACTTATCTCTCATTAGTTACCTCACATGGCCTGGAAATTGTCCTACTTGCCCCTTAAATATAGAAATAGACATTACTACCAGAAGATCTCTGTGCTAGTTCTTCATCCTTGCCCTTTGACTGTAGCTTAAGCACCACTGGCAAATTGTTGCCTACACAACAAATTATTTGAAACCAAAATTTATCTAAATTGTACTCATGTGAAAAGCAGAATTTTATGCTGACAAACCTTACCTACTTGCATAAAGCCACAGGGATGTCAATTTTTTTTTTATCATTTTGCCAGTAATTTTCAAACTCATGTTGACTAACTGTACCAGAACCACTTGTTCAAAATATAGGTGATCACAAGTGCACTTGCTCAAAATATAATTCCTAAGTTGTAACCCAGAGCTGTTGAATCATTCTTTTGGGATCATTTTAACAAGAATTCTCAAATGATTCTAAGATAGGCTGGAGCACTGGTTTATACTATTTGTAATACAGACAGATACTTGTGTGTGTGTGTGTGTGTGTTTCTTCTACATAACTATTTTTAATTTTTGAAAGTCAGGTATCATTCATTCACTCAATAAACGATCTTTAAACACTGCAAATTCACTATCTAATGTAATAGGTATTTTTCCAGGCTTATTCGGGTATAATTGAGAAATAAAATTATGTTTATTTAAATATATTTAATCTGTAAAACATAATGATCTAGTATGCATATATATTGTGAAAAGATTCCTGTCACTGAGTGAATTATCTCAGGGGAAAATGGCAGTTAATACCTTGATGGTGTCAACACTGAAATTCTACTCTCAGCAGAATTCAAATATGTAATACAGTATTATCAATCCTAGTCACCTTGTTATATAGTAAATCCTCAGACCTTACTCTTCCTATAGTTGAAAATTTACACCCTTCTGCCAGCCTATTCCTAGTCTCCCTCTCCACTGCCCACACCCTCACCTCTAGGCCCTGGAAGCTACACACTCTTTATTTCTGAGTTTGAAGTTTTGTTTGTTTTTTGTCAGTTCCACACATAAGTAACACCATGCTTTATCTATCTTTGTGTGGTTGACTTTACTGAGTAAATTGCCCTCCAGATCATGTTGGTAAAAATAGTAAGATTTCCCTTTTTTTTTTAAGGCTAAATAATATTCCATTGTGTATATATCATATAAATATTCCATTTCTTCTTTATCCACTAATCCATTGACTGACATTGAGGTGGTTTTCAAAACTTGGCTATTATGATTAATGCTGAAATTAACATAGGAGTGTATATCTCTTCAATACATATACCCATTTCCATTTGCTATCTACCCAATAAATTTGCTGAATCATATGATAATTTTATTTTTAGTTTTTTGAGGAACACCATACTGTTTTCATAAGTGGTCATACTATTTTACAATGCTTTAAACAGAGAAGGGTTCCCTTTTTTTGCATGTCCTGTGAGCTGATGGCTGGGAAGTAGGCTTGCAAAGTGCTCACCTACCTATCTTTTAGAACTATTTCCTGCAGTCTGGGGCTCAAGAATATAAGCCCTGTTTACTTTCAAAGCTATATGTTTTGAGGGACCATTCCTTCACATGGAAATTATAAAACTTGGGATACTGGGTGTGTGCTCCAAACTCTTCACTCCTCAGGAAGAAACAGAGATTGGAAGTTCCCTCCCAATTATATGCTTCTCTACCCAGGTTGGGGCTTAAGGCAAGAGTGTGTCTCAACTTTCCTACCCATTTCATACAGTTATTTCCCCAGTTGGCCAATATGTAGGAGTCAGCTTCTGGTTTTCCCTCAGAGGAAGTTGTTCTGTGTGTAGCTATACATTCTGTGCATGTATGGGATGAGGGAAATTCAGGATCCTCCTATATTTCCATTTGGTCTAGAACCTCCTAGTCTATAGTTCTTAACCATAATTATCTATGAAACTTCAAAAATATAAATTCTGGTCTTACTTCAAATCTTCTGAGTAATAACCTCTGGCAGTGAGTTCCAGTGTATGTACTTTTTAAAGACTCTGGCCATCTTGCTAAGTGGACAGGTTTCCAAACCACCTATCTAGGGCTGTGTCAGCCTCATACTGTGATAGGCTCTGGTCACACACGATGGCAATGAGAAAGCACACTTCCTTCTGTGTCACAGCTCAAACGAGTTTTGTGGAGATAGTTCTCTGAGCCTTACTGGGTTTCAGGTGTTTTGCAAGTAGCCCAGAGTCTATGGAGGAAGTGAGCCCCATCCCCTGTGCTAACAACTGAGAGCATTAACAAGAGCTGTTTGTTTCCTGCACTGGTCAAAGCAGGGTCTGGTCAGCTAACCCTTCCTGATTCTGGCAGATCCTCTTGCCTATCTAATATGTCTAACCCTACTGCAAGGCAAGTTAAGTGCCAGTAATCCCAGTGTTTAGTTTAATGTGAATAGAGAACAGATTTAGCACATTAAAATTCTTTAAATCTTCTCTAATAATAACCTCAATAATCCCTCCCCCCTTTTTTTTAGGATCTGTATGCTGAAATTTGTTCCCACTCTATTATTAGAAAACTGAGCTTCTAATAATCATACCTTCATGAATACATTTTAATAAGGAAAATAAGGGTTTCCAAAAAATGACAAATGAGTTTTTACCTGTGATCCCTCAATTTCACGATGGAAAGTGTCTGTAGTTTCTTTGACTAAGGCAGTTAGTGCATCATATTCAGGTGATGAACAATTAACTTCTTGCTCTATGTCTATATTAATTCCATCCATATATTGTGTTTTGGCCAATTTAACCTTTTCAGCTATCCAGGATGCTCTAAAAGAAGGATCAATGATGTCCTTCAAGGACACATCTCCTAGAAGGAAATACATATCCTTTGTGCATATATGATTTTCATAATTTAATGACATATACTTTACAAACCCATTCCAAAGAGATCAAAATATCTGTAAGACATCTCATTATTTGGAGGTCTAAATCCCCAACTTAAGTATTCCAAGTGGAGAAATAATATACCAAGATAACAGAAAGACATTATTCATTAATCGCTAAAATAGCTATTATGAATAGTTAGTAAAAGTTACCCCATATTAAAAGGGAGAAATTGTGGACTGACTAGCTAAAGGTCATCATGATAATTAAAGCCACATTTTGTCAAAAGCCATACAGTGTTTTATTCTTAAAATATCTTTATCTGTGAAATTATAGTCTCTGTGAATTTAGTTGGATCTAATATTAATTTTAGGATGCTAACAATACACCAGATAAACATGTAAAGGAAAATTTGGGGGGGAGTCAGGATGTAAGTAAACTTACCACTTGACTGGACACATCTGATAAAAACTAACTCACCTTTTAGCACTACTCTAGCTCCTTTTGAATGAGCATAGCACATAAGTTCTGAGTCATATTTTCCAAAAACTGCCACAGTTGTAATCTGTGACCAGTCATAAGATTTCCAAGTTTTCTGTCCAACATCAAAAACAAAGACCTGTCAAAGCAACAGGGATAAGCACTTAAAGACTGAAGAGTATTGTGCTAACTACCTCAAATATTACTCAACACTGACCATTTGCCAGGTACTGAGGGGCACTGAGAATACACCACTGAGTAAGACATAGGGATCCCACTATAACTGCTAGGAAGGGGAATTAAGTAAACCCGGAAAGTAGGAAAGGATGGGCCAGAAAATGGTAGCAAGGCCAAGGCCTAGAAAAAGCGCCTGCTGGTTGTATAATTAAATGCTGAATATAGCTGACATCTAGAATTTGGAGAACAGTGCAGAAGCAGAATGGTAGGCAAGGTTAAATCATGAAAGGCCTTGTAAACCCTCTTGAGATATCAGTACTTTATCTTGATGGGAAGTGTTTTAAAAGGAGAAAAAGTATGCATGTGGGAGCTTACGTAAATATTTTAGAGAAATTCAACTGAATGGACAGTGGGTTAAAGAAAAGCAAAAACTATACACAGAATTACCTATAGGAAAACTGTTGAACGAATGCAGGCAAGTGATAATGGTGACCTCAACTAAATTATGGAAGAGCAGACCAGCAAATGAGATAAATGAACCAATCTGGATGCTTCTAAGGAGGCTAATTAACAGGACTTTGTAGCTGAATAAGGTTAAGAGGAAGGAAAGAGATTGAAAATACTCAAGATTCTAGCTACTGCAACTAGAGCCACAGATACTGCATTAACTTGGAGTGATTTTTGATGAACCTGACTTCTTAGAATAGTACTCATTACATTCTAAGACAGCCGAAGTTATGCTTCTCTAATATCTTTCCTCCCACTTCCACCCCCTGATAATTCTAGAAGCACAAAATTTTTAGCGATCATTTTTATTTTACTACAAATAAGTGTTAATTCATTGATTCAGCAAATATTTATTGAGTTCCAATAAGGTATAAGGAGGCCTTATCATTAGGCATTAATGACATAGGTTAAAAAGAAAGACCAGACATATTTGTATTTTATTGCACTAGTGTTTAGGGTTCCATGGGAATGCTGGGAACATGACAGCATAGAAGGGGAATTTTTTAGGTGGTAAGGCAGAAAAGCATCCTTGAAGACTATACACTTAAGGGAAGGACTGAAATCTGGGGATTTCTCCTTGTGCAAGAAGAAGGGACAAAAAAAAAAGCAATCTCAGCAGAGAGAACAAAAGAGGACATAGGTCTATATAAATCAGGAGAATTACAAATAACCAAAACAAAAAGATCAATCTCACTGGTGCACAGAAATCCTGAAAATGTGACAAATCATAAAACTAACATTGTGGCAAGATCAAGTAAGGGAGGTTTGGACCATCCAGGATTTTGTATTTTATCCTGAGATCAAAGGAAAGCTGGTTTAAAAAGGAGCAGGGCATAAGATTTGCGTTTAAAAAAAAAAGAAGGGTGGGGGAATAAAGATCTACCTTGCTGGGCAACTGTGAAGAGAACAGATTGGGTTAAAGTGTAGAGGGTAACTAGCTAAGCAGGTTAAACCACAGTCTACCTACTGGCCCAGGGGTTAAGTCTCAGTGATGGCAAGACCTGAGTTCCATCCCTGGCCAGGATGCTGACCCACATGGATCAGCAGACCTCTCCTGTCTCACCCCCTGCTCTCCTCAACAGTGTATTGCAGTAGATCCACTTCATGTTCTCTCCACCTTGTCTCTGGTGAATACTCACCCTCCCACCCCGGCACCTCTGGCCTCGTACCCCAGGTCATCAGTGCAAAAATAAATAAAATAAAAAAGCAGTTGCCACTGAGATAAAAACTACAGAGTGTCGACCCTCCCTGGTGGCGCAGCGGGTTAAAGCACAGCACTGAGAATCTAAAGCCGCTTCCTCATGAGTTCCATTTCCGCCTGCCCCGGAGGTGACCACATGGCGTGGCAGACCTCTCCTGACCCTCCCGCTGCTCCCCTCAGCAGTGTACTTTGTCGATCTGCCTGTTGTGTTCCCTGCTCTGTCTCTGGTGAAGCCTCTCACCACCCCTGAGCCTCTGGCCTTTTCCCCAGTTCTGTATGCACAAATAAATAAATCTTTAAAAAAAAAAAAACTACAGAGTATCAAATAGAATGGGCCACCCTTTTTTAGATTCATATTTCCAAATCTTATCTCCTATTTTAATTCTGATAATTAAGATTAAATTTGTTTCAAAAAATACGGAGTGCTCAATCACAGTTCTAAAAAAATAGCTGGGCAAGCTAATTGAATACATTAAAAGAAAAGCAATGTAGCTTAGTCTTTGCACTGATATTAAGTATATAGAGGTCAGAAGAGAAAAACATTTACCATTACTAATGGACAAAATATTGCTGCTTTCATAGTTGATTTTCAAATGCTACACAGATAGTGCCTAACCCATGTTAGCTAAACTTCCACACTAGGCAGGTTCCCAAGAAGCACCTTCCCCTCTTTTTATTTCTTCTCCTAAACAATGAGTATATATGTTTTTAATGGGACTTAAGGGCCCTTGCATCAAAGTCAATCAGCTAGGTTATAACTGACAGCTATCCCTACCTTTGCAGAAGAACTGCTCTTTGGACTAAACTTTTTGACCTCTCAGAACCTCCCATTGCTGCTGCAGTCATAAACTCTAGGCAGTCAAGGTGGTTTTTATGTTGCCTCCTACACCATTTGACTAAAGTCAAAAAGATTTTACATGTGTTAAGTGTATAGAAGAAAAATTACTGAAAAGACCTCTCTTTACTACACTTCTTGGATGGTTTTGAAATGCATAAAGGAGAAGACTGCTAGCTACAAAGGTAAAAATTCTGCCTCCCTGTTACAAGGAGTCATCCTAACTCCTTGCTTTCCCCGCACCCCCACCCCTTTTATTTTTTTTAACACCGTGTGTCCCTGAAGACAGAAAAGTAATGAGAGGCGCTTGTGTTTGGAATCAGATTTGAGTTTGAATACTTACCTGCCTTTTTCAGACAGGTATTCACTATGACATTTGAAAGGAGTCACACCACCTCTCTGAGCATGGATTTCCTCCTCGATAAATGAAAGCAATTTGTAAATGGAAAGAAAGTCCCTCAGCGAGTGGTCAAAGCCGGTTTCAGCACCCATACCACCTCTTTTAGGCTCGACTCTACTCTAGCTTCTCTTAGGGCCTCGAGGATTAGACCCAGGGGGCAAAGGGGAAGGCGCTGACCTCGAAGTCGCGGTAGTGGCTGATCGGACGGCACAGCGCACGTTCCTGACACGGACAGTCCGTTTCGGCCTGGGCCGACAGTGTCAGCAGCAACGCCAACAGCAGCGGAAAGAGCCCCGGAGGGCGGCGCGGCCCGCCCAGGAGGAGGCTGCAAGGGAGCGGCTTGCCGGACATGTCCGCCAGTCACCTGGCTAAGCG